CATCAATAACGTGGTCCAACTGCAAACCTATTGAACTCTGAGGGGCGTACAAACCTTAACACAAAGTAGAAAGACTACAGACGTAGCGGAGGTACCCACCTCAATTTAAACAAACCCTACATCGGGAGGCCCCAGCAGAAGCACACCAGGAGCAGTAAAAAGGATTCGACAGGGTACTAACAGAACAAATCAGAGTGGGAAGAAGTCTGAAAAGAGAAGCACTTCGCGTACAATTCCAACATCGAAATGGTTCTGATGCCACATATATGGCAACATCGCCTCCAGCTGCCCAGCGAGCCATTGTTGTCCTTACCAAGCAGGGTGATGTGAAGGAAGTGAGAGATGAATAAACAACTGAGAATCATGGTGATGATACCAGCTCAAGGGAGATGAAAGGGAAATGCTAGTTGTAAGAAGAGTTTTGCATATGGAACTGTAAAAGAATCATTTGTGGTTAAGGCAAGTTATCTTCCGCACTAGGTGTACGATGAGAAGGATAGTTCGCCTCCTCATCGTTGACGAAGAAAGTTGTGAGAATGTTGTCGCTGCTTTCATGGTGAAAAAGTTGGACCTGGTTACACAGAAACACTCTCAGCCATATTCATTGATGTTGTTGAAGAAAGGAAACATGATACGAGTGGATCAGCAATGCATGTTAGAGATTTCCACTGGGGATCAACTACAGAACCAAGTGTGGTGTAACATGATGCCCATGGATGCCTACCACATCCTGCTGGGGAGGCTGTGAATTTGATCGCAAAACACAACACCACAAGTTCAAAAACACTTATGCATTCACAAATAATAATAAGTGTATCATTCTCGTACCCATCAAGGATTCTGGAGGAGCAGTTACATCCGTTGATGATAAGCCAGAGGGCCTATGCACCACTTTTCTACAAGCGGTTCGAAAAGTCCCTGTGGCATTGGCTTTCGTCGTCTTAGAAAAAAAGAGGAGACAAATCCAACGGAAATAGTCCAGCCGCTGTTAGCCGAGTTTAACCAAGTGTGGTGTGACATGATGCTCATGGGGATGCTGTGGCAATTTGATCGAATGACGCAGCACGACAGTATCAAGAACACTTACGCATTCACTAAGAATAAGAAATGCACCATTCTCTTACCCATCAAGGATTCTGGAGGAGCAGCTACATCTGTTGAGTATAAGCCTGAGGGCCCACACACCAATTTTCTACAGTCTTACCAAAAAGTCCAAGTGACACTGGCTTTAGTCATCTTAGAGGGACTAAGGAGACAAATCCATCAAAAATGGTCCACCCGTTGTTGTTCGAGTTTCGGGTTGTGATGACCTACAACCTACTAGAGGGTTTACCGCTATTGAGAGATATCCAGCATGTCATAGATCTTATCCTAGGGTCAGTATTGCCAAACAGGTATGCATAAAGGTTGAGGTCAGCAAAGTACAAGGAGTTACAACGGCAAGTGCAGAATCTCATTACTAGAAGATTGGGGAGGGTATTAGCCCATTCACTGTTTCAACATTCATGGTACCCAATAAGAATGTCTCATGGAGAATGTGCATCGATTGTCAAGATATCAACAATATCAAATATTGGTTCCCTATCCCTATCCTGGACGACCTACTAAATCAATTACATAGAGGCATAGTCTTTTTCAAAATTGATCTACGCAATGGATATCATAAGATTAGAATGAGTTGGGTATGAATGGAAGACCGTCTTCAATATCAGAGATGGGTCGTACGAGTTGACAATCATGCCCTTTGGACTGTCCAATGCACCAAGAAAATTCATGAGACTGGTGAATCAAGTACTTCGGGTTTACATCGGGAAGTTCCATGATTATCTACTTCGACGACATCCTTGTCTACAGTAGTTCACAGAAACAATTGCAACATCTGAAGCAGAATTTCGAGGTTCTGCGGTCAAAGAAACTATAAGCCCACCGAAGCAGTGCTACTTATGACGGCGTAGGTATGTTTTTTGGGTTATATTATATTCGGTGTTCTCATTCAGATGGACCCTGTGAAAATAGAAGCGAGTGCAAGTTGGAAACTCCCACATTCCTTTACTGAGCTGAGGCGGTTTTTGGGATTAGAGTCATTTTACAGGTGGTTTATTAGGAGCTTCAACACTATTGCAACTCCCCTGACCGGGCTTTTGAAGGGAGAGAAGCCCGTTCTGACACCCTAAAGGAAAAGATAATGAATGCCCTAGTGTTAGCATTATCGGAAAAGCTTGTTGTTCGATGTGAATGGTGATGCCTATACTGTGGGGATCGGAGCAAATTTGAGTCAAGGAGCACACCCTATAGCCTTCTTCAGTGAGAAGCTGAATGAGTCCTGAAAAAAGCATTCAACCTATGACAATGAGTTTTATGCCATTGTAAGAGCTTTCCGCCACTGGAGCCACTACCTGCTAATGAGCGAGTTCATTTTATTCACAGATCACGAGACACTGAGATTCTTGAATAGTCAGAAAAAATTGAAGGGTAGAAATGCTTTGTGGGTTGAGTTTTTGGAATCATTCCAATTTGTACTCAAGCACAAAGCATGAAGTGAGAATCGAATACTTAATGCCTTGAGTTGTCGCCATTCGCTGATTACCTCCTTATAGTCTAGAGTTGGATTTGAGGTAGTGAAGGAGTTATATGATCCAGAGGAGGATTTCAAAGAAATTTGGGAATAATTTCAAAATAGGCCCACAGAACCATATCACAAGATGATAGTTATCTGTACCACCAGAGCAAGTTGTGTGTACCAAAATATTCGTTGAGGGAAGTCATCATCCTGGAGAGTCATAGCGGGGGACTAGCAGGTCATTTTGACAGATAAGACCCTCGCACTAGAAGGAATACTTTTTTTTTGTCCCAAATAACGAAAGCTATGGAGTGGTACGCCCAACAATGCAGAGCTTGCCACCTAGCCAAGACCCATGGGCAAAACATAGGCCTATACATGCCATTAGGATGCCAAATGCTCTTTGGGTGTATGTCAACATGAATTTCTTATTGGGACTTCCAGTGTCCCACTGAAACAATGATTTCGTCTTGCTAGTGGTTGACTGATTCTCAAAGATGACTCATTTCATGCCATGTTACAATATGCTAGATGCATCAAATGTCATTGAATTGTACCTCAGGGTGATCATGAGGCTGCAAGGAATCCCCAAAACCATCAAATCAGATAGGGACACCAAGTTCCCAAGTCACTATTGGAAGCCTCGTGAAGAAAGCTTGGTACTGAACTTCAATTTAGTTCAGCAGTTCATGAGCAAATAGGCATTCAAACATAAGTGATGAACATAAGTCTGAGGAACCTCCATAAGTGTTTTATAGAAAAGAACATCAAGCAATAGGATTTAATACGAATCGAAGCCAAATTCACCTAAGACAGGTCTGTGAATCAAACTAAGGAACATTCCCCCTTTCAGATCATGTGTGAGCACAATCCACTCACTCCATCAAAGCTAATATCAGTTCTTATGTTGGAGGTTAGTACAGTTGCAAAGGCAATGGAATAGGAGATTCAGAGGCTACACAAGGAGGTCATGAAAGAGATCACCAGATAGAATCACAATTACCAAACGCAATCTAATAAAATCAGGAAGGTAACTTTTCAAGAGGGAGATTTAGTGTCGATCCGCCTGAAGAAAGAGAAATTTCCTACGGGGTCATTAGGGAAACTCAAGCTCAGAGCAAATGAAACTTCATGTATCCTTAATAAGCTAAATAACAACACCAACATGATCGACATACCAAAGGATTAAAATATTTATGCTACCTTCAACATGTAAACTTTGACTCCAAACTACGAGGACCCAGAAGCTTCAACGAATGAAGTTGAAGCCACCTCAATCCCAGGAGACTGGCGTGAGCACGGAGGTATAAGGAGCCGCGGGAAAATTTCGTGCTTCCTTCATCTAAACCGAACCGGTCCAAAACCAGAAGGACCGATCAGCTTTTTCACCATGGATTGGCACCTCCTTTCCATATGGAGATCAAATCTTAGTTATCTGGGGCATATATATGTGTGTTTATTGTCTTAGGTTTTCAGTTTTTAGGGTTTTCTGTCAAGACTGTCGTTGGCAGCTCCTTGTTCCCTCTTAGGGTTATATCTGAAGGCGAGGTGTTGCGGCTATAACTGGGCATGAGATGGTGTTTATTTATCATTCCCTACTTCCCACCGCACCTCATCCACGGTTGTTGTCGCCACCAAAAAACAACTTCTTTTGTTTATTTTTTTTTTTTTTTTGCAGTCATCCATCATTCCTAGCCACCTCCACCTCGTTGCCAAGCCTATCCAACTTGGTGTCTGCTCCTCTAGCCACCTATCTGATTGTTGTTGCCCCCTTCCAACCTGCTTTAGTCCCCTTCCAGTCACCTCCAAATTCTGCCACCTCTTCCAGCCACCTTTAGTTCGTTATCGGCCCCTCCAGCCACCTGCCTGCTTCATGTCGCCCCTTCCCGCCAACTCCAACCTGCCACCAACCTCCAGCCACCTCTTCCCGCCACTTCCAACTAGTTGTCGTCCATTCCAACCACCTCTCACTTACTATCGCTGCCTTCCTGCTACCTCCACCGCTCCAAGATCTTGCTGGCGGCCACCGCTCAACCGTTTTAGTTACTTTTTCTCCTTAAGCCACAGCAACACTTCTTATACCTCAGCCCTAGTTGAGCCTTTGTTATTTTCTAATTCCAAGTGTCTCTTATCATAACCTTTATTTGATTTCAGTAATAATATTTGTTTTCCCTATTTTGATTTGGGTTTAACTCCGATATCAGAGAGCCCTTGCAAATCATGGGTATCATTTACAAATCTCCAACTTCAGTTATGTTTCACCCATCAATTGAGCCCAATTGAACAAATGTTGGCAAAAGGACTAAACAATGATATAGGATGCAATAATACAGCGTTCTCAAGAAATAATACAACAATAATGTAAAAGATAAATAGCTACCAAAGCAAACTGGTAGGAAAATCAATTATGTTTGCAATAAATTAAAGCAATCTTAGAAACCTTTGCTTGATGAAGCTCGTAGATTTCAAGGAATAGCTGCTTTGAAAGCTCTTCTAGCGCTTGCACCTCGGCTTCCATGCCTTTAATATCTACAAATCACCAAAAAGAACAAAAAATATCTTGAAAATAATGACCAAAAACATCAAAATCAAAGTGAATTATAGAAGACCATGAAAAATAAGGATTATTTAAATACTTTGTAAATGCTACATTCAGTCACAACAATCATTCAAATAAAACCCTTGCAAAAGAACTATTAAATTAAAAGCTGGGACAAATCATGTCAAGTGACCTTGTTCCCTTTGATCTTCTTGCACAGATCTAACAACTGTTCCGACAAGACGTCTAATGAAGGATCTGGCTTTAAGTTTCTGCAAAAAAATTTCCAAGTAAAATACTTAAACTTTACAGTATGACTTTTTATACAGTATCTTCTAAAATAATAAAATATAGAACTAATATAACAGAAATAACTTTTAATACTTGGAACATGATTTTTTGAAGAAGATATAATAGTACGAGCATGACAATTTTTTCATTATTTTTTTTAGTTAAAAAGTTATAGGATATCAAGAAGAAAAAAAAAGTTAACAGGATGTCAATAAAACCCAAAAGACACGACTTTTCTTTTATTTGTGGAGCAGCATAGCGAAAAAGATGCACCTTGGCCTAGAAGAGGGGTTTACACAATCTTGACATGTAGCACTTCTCAAAATATACAAACACCCTTGGCCCACTAGAAAAACTAACAGCCCTAACTCTCACCCATTGAGATATCGTTCTCTTTGGCCTAATTCGTGTAATTTCCCATGAAGTCGCCCATCCCATAACTGATCCTGCACAAGCATGCTCAACTTTGGAAATTATGATAAAATTTCAATCATTACACCAAAAAACACCTCAAAATTTGAGAGTTCAACATCATTCTTACATAGGGATTTCAAAATCTCCCACGCTTAAAGAGCTAACTCCATCGTCAGTGCTCTACTAAAAAGATCCAACTTATCATATATAGATTAAAGGTCATTTGAGATAGACTATAGAAATATTATAATGCTACTTGTAGAGTTTAATATTCAAGGATTTGTATTTATCAAGGTCAATGCAACGAAGTGTATGCAATGTTTTGGAAGGATCGAGAAATTAGATCAACAATATGTGGGGCTATACAAAATTATTGAGATGATACAAAATGGCTTACTGATTAGCTTCGCCCGTAAATATGCAAAAAAGTGCACAATGAATTTCATATCTCTACATTTCAGAAGTATGTTAACGAAGCAAATAGATTTGTTGCAAATTCAATTGATATACAATTTGATTTGACCTATACATAAAACCTAAGAGGAATCCTCAAATATTATATAAAATGACTCGATAATAAAGAAATTTTATTTGTAAAAATTTTATGAAAGTAAAGGCTAGAAAGAGATGTCATATGGAAGAAAGCATAAAAAATGAATGAAAATTACTCACATCTCCTCAATTAAGAATTGTTTGTTCTTATCTAATTTTTCGAATTTCGAAGATATTTTTTAGAAAATTGGGAGATTATAATAATTGAATAATAATAATAATAATAATAAACTTGTGTGTCGATTCGATCAACCGAAGTCGTTAGGAGATGGAAAGCAAGTTTTGAATGTAACTATTCAAGAAAGATGAGGTAACCTATGTGAAACAAAGATGGAGATGGGGGAGAGGAGAGGCACCCATCGCATGCAGGAGGGAAAAAATTGAGTGTGAGGAGGCTGATGATGTCGCCTGTTGGAATTCATATGAGGGTGACAAAGAAGACAAGTGGCAATGGTGCATGGAGGAAGATCAACAATGTGAAAGAATGAAAAAACAAAATTGTGTTGAGTGTTGTGCGTGAGGAGAGAAGGTAAGCAAGTAGATCATCTTATGAGTGAAGAAGACAGAACTGTAATCGAGCGAGTGAGGCAAACTTACGTGTGAGATGAACGACATGTACAGTGTCAAGTGCACTATGTGAATGAGACAGAGGAAAAGAGGCAACGTGTGACACCTCGTATGCAGGAAGGAGAGACAAAAAGAAATCGATAAATTAAAATTAGAGTTTATTCTAAATTCAAATAATTTTTTTTAACTCCACAGTCATAACAAAATTTAATATTTAATTTTTTTGAATAATTTCAAAAATCAATAATGAAAGGAAGAACTAAATGACTAGAATGAATCACAATCATTCATCTTGCAAGAAGAAGAGAGAGAAGAATTGAGGTAAGTTCTAATTTGAGTTTTTTTTTTATGTTGACCTATATATTTAAACCCTAGAGTGCTTTTAATTTTAAGAAATATTTTAAGATTTTTATTATAAGAAAATAATATTTTTCGAGAGTTGACCAAAGATTGAGCAAAGAAAAAAATCTACATAAATTATTTGCTAAACTATGCTTAATTTTTTTCGTAGAAAAATTATCAACTTTGTAATAGGATAAATAAAGTAGGAAGATGAGAATGGTGAAATACTTTACAAAAATAATATTGAAATTAGAAATTGAAAATTTAGAAATACAATTGAAAATATTAAAAGATTAAAATATTTATATAAATTTGTCTTTGGATATAATATTTATTTTGAAGTTTAGGCCCTTGTAAAAGTTAAAATGAAGATTATAAAAAAAATATTACTAGAAATTTAATAAAAAAATTTATTTAGAATTTAAAAATTAAAGATATGACTTATGATTACAGGAGTTAAACAATAGAGGATAGTGAGTGAAGGTTAATTGATAATACCACTATTCAATGGTTAAGATGGTAATTATTTTTCTATTTGTACTAAATTATATTCATTTATTTTTGAAATGTAATTCATGTTTTTACTTGATGATATAAACAAATTAAATAGATGTTCAATGTTTTAAATATATTCCATATATTGCATTAGCACTAAAAGTTTAGCAAATATTTTAATGATTGAATAAAATTAAAATCAAATCAAATCAAAGAAATGTACAAAACAATCACAAGGGACACCCACTTATGATATTAGCACGAGATGCTATTATATCTGTGCACGAAAATTTAAAAAAGAAATGGCTTGAAAGAAGAAATGAAAATGTATGTACTTTAATTATTACAATATTTTAAACAATACTTTCAAAATAACTTCTTAAATAAAATTAAATTAAAATTATTAAAAAAATTCTAATTAAATAAAATGCAAATATTTGAAACTTCTTTTTAAAATAAAATTTTAATATTTTATCATTTTTAATAACATACATGTTAGATCATATGCATATAAATTTAGTACATAGTAGAGTTGTAATTATTCACTAAATTATTGTAAGCTTAATATGTCATTTAACTGCTTATTGCGAGAAAAACTTATTTGAGTTAAATGGTTGACAGAAGATAGTGTGTTTATAGAAAAGTATGAAATAATAAAAATAGGTACCATGCAAATACTTTTCGTTGTAAGTTTTTTAATTGATATTAATATTGCAACTGAATGATGTTACTATTTAGTTTGGATATGATGTATTAGAAATTTTGTAGTTTAATGGATTTTTAATTTTTGGATGATTTAAATGTTAAAAAAATAGAACTTTACTACCGGGCCATTCATCCTCGCTTTGAAAATCACAAGCTCCTAATTCGGCTCATGACGGTAAATAAGAATAAACTTCAAAAGAATCATCCACCATAAACCAACTTAGCTGGTTCAAGCATTTCCCGTAGTGATTTGTTATAATCGGTTGTCTAGTTAAATGTGAATGGTTTATTGGTTTATTTGAACAATGTTAATTAATCCTTTCACCAGCAGAACAACGTGAAAACACATTTTACTAAATTTTATTTTAAATGTAGAAAGCCAAAATTGATGTAGGAGGCAGATTCAACCTTAATGCCCAACATGTAGTCATCATCTTAAATAACAGGACTGTACACATGTTATCAGATTTGATTTTAAATTTAGATACCCGAAATGACGAGATGTAGAACGAAAATTTAACTTCAACAACCCAACTAAGTCATTACCCTATTAGGAACAAGTCTGCACAGGAAAGAATGGACAAAATAGTCTGTTTGCAAGAACGGAAAACACATATCATAATTTAGAACAGTATAGAAATTTTCCGTAATGCTTAAACTGTATTTTTCTGATGGCTCAAGCAGTCTTAGAATCAGTGTGAAGAATGAAAAGTTCTGCAACCAAATTATTCTTCATACATTAAGGCCAGGTTTTGTCTTTCCTAAAAGCATTTTTCTGGATTCACATTTTAGGATAAAAGGCAAAATAGAAGGCTATTTATTACAAATCAAGATTTAAACAACAACCATTAAGGTTTTAAGAAATATGCTATCGAAGAGTAACCTAAACATATATGAATAAATGCAAGTATGCACTCGAGGTGAAAAAACATAATTAAAATCATCAAAGGTGACTGGTACCTCTTCTGATCCCTGTAGTCTCTCCATCTCCATTTGGGACAAAATGATCTTCTTCTTCTTTGTAATGCAGGTTTCTATCGATTGCATCAATTGCCTTTCCAGAGCTTTAATATCCGACTCCTCAATCTCCCTGTGAAATCCAAGCATACAAACTCTCACCTAGAGGTAAGGGAAAAGAGGAATATAACCATGCGAACCGAACATTTATGCCACTAAAGAATGAGATGAAATACATGATAAAATAAGCAAATAAAACTGTAGAAAATAAAACAATAGATAAAAACAATTTTTTTCTCTGCTTTCTTTGTACAAAAATAGATATATATCATCTCCAAGATAAATTAAAAAATAGGAAAAAAATAAAAAAAAGGTAAAAATAAGAAAGTGTGGGCAATCATATAGGGAAGTATACAAGCTGCAATCTGAGGGCCATAGAAAAAATAATCTAATGGTAAAAGGCTTTCATCAATGTGTCTTAAACTCTTTGTTATGATTGAAATGAAAGTTAGTCCCACTATAGTGCCATACTGTAGCAAAAATTCAACACTCCCCCACAATCTAGATGGTTGTGATCAACTATTCCAAGTTCGTCTACCAATATTTTCACATGTTGAGCTGCAGAGTCACTTGGTAAATATGTAGGCAGTTGATTCCATAGAGGCATATATGGAGCAAATCCAGCACTTTCCAATTTCTTTCTTTTATGATGTGTCTATCAAGTTCAACATGCTTAGTACAATCATGTTGTATTGAAGTATAAACAACACTAGAGATTGAATTGTATCATAGTATAATGTTGTAAACTCTTTTCGCCTGGCTTTGAAGTCCTTTGATCCAATTTAGATCCATAAAACTTCAAAAATCCCTTAGATAATGACTCTGCGGACAGTTGTAGCACTTCATCACCCCATATAATTTTTTTATTCTCCAAAGTATGAGATTTCTTATTAAAAATATACAGTACACTAAAATGAATCCTATCCACAAGTGATTTAGCTAGTACGCATCTGCATATCCTTCAGTTTGTAGGGCATCATGTTTTTTCTATAGAATACCTTTTTATAGATTTAAAATATCAGATAATGTTAAAGGTGTCTTCAAGATGTGGCTTTTTAAGTTCAAGCATGAAATAAGTTACTAGATTTACACTGAATGTGAAGTTAAAAAAAATATGGGATAAATAAATTAATTTTCCAACTAACATTTGATATTGTCTTATATCTGTATCAGTTCCCTCTTCACCAAATTCCAATATTTATTTGGTTCAATTGAAGTTTCACAAGTCTAACACTCTGTCATCTTAGTTTCTTTTAGCAATGACATAGCATACTTCTCTTGGGGGAAAACTTATCCATATTGATTCATTTATATTCTAAAGAAATATTTGAGTTTTCCTACTCTTTGATTTTGAATTCTTCAGTGAGTATTTTCTTGAGAGATTCATTCTCTAGTTTGTCATCCTCTATAACAATCATATCATCAACATATAAATATTAAGATTTTATCATCAAGAGTATTTTATAAAGAGAGTATAGTATAAGAATTGATTTTTTTTTTCTAACTTTTTCTTTCCTCCCTCGCGATATTCCTTCTTGGTCGTTGCTTTCCAAAATCGCACCTTTCCTTATATTCTTCCCGCTCGCCCCTACTGCCTTTCTGAATATATCGAACCACCGCCTCACTATGTTGTAAGAAAGAGCGAAGGCATCGCACTCACTCCACTTCACCTCCTCCTACAGTGCTATGCCGAAATCTCCTCCAGATCTTCCTCCACCCTCCACTCAATTCCTCCCAAAGACGTCTTCCGAAACCCTTGCGATAAAACCGCCCTCGGAGCTCGCATTAAACGCAACAGCGGGATCGTAGCTTACAAAGACCTCTTCTCCTTCAGTCCGCTCCTACCCGAAACCATTGAGGAAGGTAGCCTTATCTGCTCCGCCTTCCTCCTCACACGCACTTCTCTAAATCCCATAATCCTTATCCTGCGGGATTTAACAAATCTTGGGTTTAAGGCTAACTGAAAGAAAAACAGGATTTAAGAAACTTGTAGGATTTGAGAATGGCATTTTTACTAATTATTAAATTTTATAGTGTCACATATGTAAATCCGCTAAAAATTTTATTCATAAATTATACTTTCTTTCATATCAAAATAAAACCAAAAAAAATAATATTTGATTATATTAATTAAGATTAATTAACTTGATAATTTCCATCTTTTAAGAATATAATAATAATAATTTATTAGATATGCATACATATATTAAATCTTTGTAGGTTTATTAAAATACACCTAATTTATGAAAAAATAAAAATAATTGCTTAATCATTTATGCCTTATTTTTTAAATAGTATAGAATTGCTAGTCGAACCATCAAACTTGTACAAGTATCGCGTTTGTCACCTCGAGATAAGTAATTATTTTTTATTAGAGAGTAAGCATACTCTTCCTAGTTAAAGCCGTTACTTTTTGTCAATTGTAGTAGATTCATAACTATTCTATAAAATTGACAGTCATGCGCTTGTTATTTTAATTTTGAATTTGCCATTAGGGGTGTAAACGAGCCGAACACGAGCGAGCCCAGACCCAGCTTGTGTTCAGCTCATTTATATTTCGAGCTCAACTTGTGTTCAGCTCATTTATATTTCGAGCCCAGACCCAGCTTCGTGTTCGGCTCGTTTGCTTAGCGAGTCGAACACGTGTTGTTCACGAATAAAGAGTCATTTTGACAACCCTAATCGCGTAGTCATAAGAAAATAAGAATTGGGATAAAATTTAAAACATCATTTGAATCTAATTTAATAATTTTTATTTTATTTTCTTCATTAATGTTTTTAATTGATTATAAATTTTTGCAGTCTTGTAGTCAATTAAATTTTTAAAAATACTACTCATCAAAGATACATAGATAATTGATTAGTAGTATTTTGAGCCAAAACGAGCCGACACGAACAAACAAATATTTGTTTGTGTTGTTCGTGTTCGACTCGTTAACTTAGCAAACGAGCCGAACACGAGCTTCTTAACGAGTCGAACACGAGTTGTTCGCGAACAATGAGCCGTTTTGACAGCCCTATTTGCCATAATCATTGATTATTGTTCATGATGAGATTAATATCCATCTTAATTTATTGTGGCAAATTTCATGCATGTTTTAATTAACCCTGTAGTTATGATCTTTTCTTTTTCTACACTTGTATGAAATTGCATCTATCATATCACAACTCTGTGTGAAATTACATATTTCTTATATATTATATTTGCAAAAACAATTTGACATGTTTGTGTGTAATAGTATGTAGGTCGGTAGACTCTTTTTTTATCTTAGCTAGCCGGGAAGACGAGCCCACAGAATGACGAATATAGGAAATCGTCGGATTTTCTTGGGATGGTATTGACCTTCCCGATTTCAGGATGTCTATTAAACCGATTATACAAATAATAACTTGAAACTGAATAATAAGAAACTTGATAAAAATGATTGCATACTTTTATGTATAATATGCATATTTGATATTTACTCCTCTTGTTGTTTTATAGCGTTACATACGCACATAATGATTATCCTTATTTATTGACCATACTACATGCCTCATTCTTCTTACAGTTTACATTTTAATAGATAGTTATTTACTAAGTTTGTTTCTCAAATTCACTCATTGATATTTTGCATAACAGGTTCTATTCAGCCACCAGTAGGATCGTCACCACTAGAGCAGGCTTTTCAGTATTAATTTTCCTGTCTTGATATTTTTTTCATTATTTGTTTTAGTTGTATTTTTCCATTTTGGGTCTCGATACTATTTCATGTTATAATTTCTATTTTGATTCAAGAATTTTTTTGTTTTCAGACCAGTTATATTAGTGAATTTTTCAGTATTAATAAAATATGCAGTCCTTTTTTTATTTGCATGCAAGTCTTTCTTTAAGAATATAAAACATATTCATTTCATTTCATCATGTCTTGCGTTGTCGGGGTGTACCGCCTCTGGACCGAAATGTGACATATAGTCCTTTTAGCTTTATTTATATTCAATTCCTTTTATAGCATACGTAAATATATCAAACCAAGCTCTTGATTATTATTTCAGTAGATACAGAGTCATTTTTAATCTACATACATTATTCTTTTTGAAAGAGCTAATGAATTTTAATGTTGAATCAATATAGATGTCTTCGTTAATGCCCGCATGTAAGAAATCATTTTTATATCATATTATTGTATAAGCCACTTCTGATTTATTATTAGGAATATCAAAATATGATTAGTGTTCATTTATGCGATAGAAACAAAAAAAAATTGATGGTAAATCTTTTATGTTTTAAGTGTCATTTGACAATCAATCTTGGAATGTACCTTCTCAAGCTCTCATCTGATTTTCATTCGATCATAAATATATATTTACATCCTTTTATTTTCTTTACTTTTGGTAATTCAATGATCTCTCATATACGATTTTAGTCAAGCATTCATCTCTTTTCTTATCACATACTTCCAAAGTCTACCTCCATCTCAAAAAGAATTTAAGGAATGAAAATGGGATGATGTTAATGTCGATTAAAAGGGATTTAAAAAATAGAAAAAAAAAGAATGAAAATGCATTAGAAGACACAACATAAATAAGTTGTAGTGGGCTAATCAATATTACCTTACAACGGTTCTGAGTTATGGATTTCTTGGAGATCCGAGCTACACATGTTCTTTCTTCTACAGAGAAGGAGAGATATAAATGGTATAAGGCTTGCATTAAAGATTTTAGGTTACATAAATGTCACGAAAAGAATATTATCATGTATCTTCAAGTTAAAATTTCTCTTCCTGAAGATAAATTTGAGCGACGAAGCTATGAGTTTCATCAAAAGTGACATTCATTAAAACAAAGAACCTTTTGTGAGTAGATGATAAAACTTATTCCCGTGGCAGAATATCCAATAAATGCACACTAGTGAGTATTAGATCAAGTTTCTCTATGTTGTTTATGGATAAAAATATAACAATATGAAAGGACATGTTTTAGTTACCAGGGGAGAAGAAACAAAGAATCGAGGAAGAGGAAGTGAAGAGTCGGGAAATCGAATAGAAGCGAGAAGAAACGAATAGTCGGACAACCAAAGGGAGGGAGAGGAAG